AAACATAGCTGAACTGATTTTGCATTGTCTCTTGGAGTTCCTTGGGCTAGGCCTGACACTAGCATGATAATTAGGCATGCAATCTAAGAAAGATAGATATTGTACCCCAAATATATGGAACTGCTTTTTAATCTCATAAGCAATTATTCTGCAGAAGTTTGTCTTGGCTATCAGCTTGGTGGTCACCATTCTCTCAATAAATACTCAAATAGGATTTTCTGGAAAGTTATGAACTACGTAATAATGGCTGCTTAACTATGCTATCCACATAAGTATTCATGGTGGATTGTGCTTTTCTCTTGAACAATAATTACACTGATCAATGACTGAAATAAAGATTTGACTTGATGAGCAATAAAGCCATGCATTAGGAGAGAAGGTTGTTGGTTAAAATTGTGGAAAACTTAAAGAGAGATGTCTCTGTGTGTGGCATTTAAAAGGATGACATTATTTAATATACCTCCTTAGTGTTAGATTATAGAAGCCACTATTTTTATGGTCCAATTTCAAGTTACAACTACAAGTAATTGGAAAAAATGCCATAATTCATGACAATGTCACACTGTTACTAAAGCAATTGAATTTGGAATAGACAGATAGTTAGCCAGTTTAATAAAATACTCTCAAGTTAATTAACAAAGTTTATACTGTAATTTCTCATAATTTAATTAATATTTACTATACAACTTTGTTAATGTCATTTATATTAATACAGCCTTCATTTCTGCAAAAATAGAAGCAATTAATTTATATCTAGTTATGGTTATGAAATCCTACACAATGAACATACACACACACATACATATACATATATATGTTTGTTTCTTTTCATGTATTTTTCTAGACTGCCCTGGCACATCTAGAATCTCTTGCAATTGATGTTGAGCAGGCTCATCCACCAGCTAGTAAAGAGAGCATAGAATGTCTGCCACAAATTATTATTACAGAAGATCACAATGGTAAGGATAAATGACGTACTCACTGTTCCGGTCAAATATTTTTATATGATCTAATAGTATGATATTATGTTACTATCTTTTGTAACTTAATTTGGTTTAATCTGTTTTTAATTTATTAAAAATAAACTATTTTTCATTTATTAATAACTATGCCACCATAATTTTTTTAACAATCTAGTTCTACATTTGTATACTAATATGCACATTGTTTTCCTAAGCTGTAGGTCAAGAGCAGTGTTGTGCTATTTGCTGTAGTGAGTACCTCAAAGAAGAAATTGTAACAGAGCTTCCATGTCACCACTTCTTTCATGTGACATGCATAACACTTTGGTTACAAAAGGTATGTCATTATGTTATAGTTGAATGCTGCTTTAAAACTTGAAGTTTAAAAAAAAAACTATATTTATTTATTTATTTATTTATTTATTTATTTATTTATTTATCAAACAAACTCCTATGGCCACCCATCTACCAGAAGGAACTCTGGGTGGCCAACAAGAATAAAAACATGATATAATTAGAACCAAAAAAAAATTTGAAACAAGCAACAACAACAAAAAATGTTGTGGTCCTGATAAAACTTGCATCCATCAATCACGCATACAATGCTGGCCCCATCAACATCTTGGCCCCAGTGCCTTGGCAAAAGCCAGGTCTTCACTTTTTTCTTGAAGGCCAACTGGGTTGGGGCCATCCATACCTCTAGGACAGGCTGTTCGATAAGATAGGCACCATGACACAGAAGGCATGCTTCCAAGTTTCCACAGGTGACAGCTTCACTGAGGGAATTTGTTGCATGCCCAACCTATCCACTAGGGATAGGCAGTTCCATAAGTAACCTGGCCCCATGTCATGCAGTGCTTTAAAGATGATAACCAGCACTTTGAATTGCATCCAGAAGTCTACTGGAAGCCCGCACAGCTCATAAAGGAGTGGTGTTACATG